AWTTTRCCSSCKAAKKCAGTTTTTTTTTGGAAGTTATATTTTTCAGTGCCACTTCATTGTAACGAAAATGTTTTCAGTCTGGCCAAGACTTTTCTCAAAACTGTGGTCGGCCCTTTTAAAAGTGCTGAATATTTAATAAATCATCATTTTTTGGCTCGCAAACATCAATTAATTTCCTTGACGTGATTCTAAAGGATGCGACTAAATGATACGTTTTTATAGGTTTTATTTCAGCCAATAAACTTCTAAGATTTTCAGACATATCTTCATAAAGCTTCTGCGATCATCTTAAGAACTTGAAATAAAAAGAACTAATTTAATCGCAGTGTCTTCGAGAATAATCTGAGCTGAAGTTATCCCTAGGCTTTCTAACTGATTACATTTTCTACTTGCATCGTAAACCCAGCTGTATTAGCTACAACTTTCCGCTCCCAACACTGATTTTTAAGGTCTCGCAGTTAGAGAGAATAAAATTAAGTCCCTCTATGAGGTAATTGTCGAAGAAAGAGTCACAGCTTGTTAGGAAATGATGGGGTATTTCTTATAGCACCATTTCCAAACAAAGAAAAAAGGCGTGGGAACCACGATCCATCAAATAATCGGCACAAGAACGAAACTGTTTTAAGTCACCTTAACCATCGAGCCTCCAAGTGTGACTAACATCAAGACTTTCCTTATAACATCACCCCTGAATCACACATTGAGGTCACAAGAATAAAGGGAATGATCACCAGCTAGAGAAGCTGTTGATTTATAAACAAATTCTCCTTGTCAGCACCTTAGAAAATGTATAAAGAACAATATAGAGAATATGCATATTGATGTTAGACCTTTAAGGGTTTAAACTGAGTAACAACGCTTGTGCAAACATTGTAAAACTGATAAAAAAAAAAAGTAGCAGTAACTGACCTGTTTTTGATCTGTCTCCATGGACTTTATCGCGTCAATATATATTTGCACTTACCAATACTTGGCTGTGTAGCCGCGCGATGCGGTTCCAGTCGAGGCCCACAAATTGACCCTTGCTCACCATGGAGTCTCCAGTAGCTCAGTGGTTAGAGCATCCGACTAGACCACGGAGGGTACA